TGGCAATTAAACGTCTATGTATTGTGCCATTCGTCTTTTTGAAGAACAAGAGGAAATTACTTATCTAAAGCTTAATTGTAATTTGTTTATTTCAGTAAGTTGTCTATTCAATCAACTGTTAAACGATATGCATAAGTCACAATGTATTTCCAAATTCATGGATCCCCCAGATAACGACTAGGGAACTGCGGACTTATTTAATCGTCAGTCTATATTACATCAATTTGTAGATCAATACTATTCATTTATATATAATATGTTTTATGAAAGGTCTAATAAGAATATATCTGTCACAAAGCTGTAATGGAAAACAATCGCGAGGCCGAGTCGGCGGTACGTTAATGTGTTTCTGATGGTTCTTCAATATCACTCCGGTTATCGTATAAATTATGTTATAGACGTTTGTAATCATAATATATTGTTCTGGATACTATTACACTAACATCTTATTATATTAAGATGTCCTTCCGTTTAATTTCGTTGACATATTATATCCAGAAACAATAGTAATATCTCGAAAATAGTAAATAATTTCTCGAATTAAAATGTACTTTGTAATTAATTAGCTGTTGCTCGCGACTTCGCCCGTGTGAAATTAAAAAATATATCCTGCCTATAAGAACCTATCTAACTGTGAAAGAATTTTTAAAATCGACCTAGTAGTTTTTGATTTATTTTAAACATACAAAAATACAAATCTTGTCTCTTTATAATATGAGTTTTTTTTTATAATATAAGGTGGCAAACGAGCAAGATAGATAGAAAAAATAAAAACAATTAAAATAGCAATACATGATCTATGTTATAAAAATTGTCGTAGAAAACTTTAAATATTCATAGGTCTACACGCACAATTAGATCGGAGCTCTCGAGAGCGTGGCCGTTGCCAACGGACCAAATTAGCCAACTAACCAACTAATAAATAATGATCTCTTGTTTTTCTATTCGGCACGGAATAGAAACGCAGCTCATCCTCCACGTTGGTTATTTATATCGGATGCACGCGACGATTCGGGTGAAGGCACTCTACACGTCGATCTGCGGCTGCGGCGGTGTGTCGCCACACTTTACTGTTTATAGCACAATCTTAATGTACCTAATTTTGTCCTAAATTTATACTTCAAAAAACTAGTCGATACGAGATTCGAGAAACTTTCACTGTTAGAAATATAAACATGTTTAATCATTTTAGTAATATGGACGCAAAATTAAGTTTTCAGATGGTTTTTTTATATAGAGTTATAAGATTTTAAATGCCTTTTAGGGAGTAGGACTATTCTAAATTATTTCAAACTAGCTTTCGCCCGCGACTCCGTCCGCGTGAAATTAAAAAAAACAAAAGTAAGTAGCCTATGTGTTGTTCCAGACTATGTTTTACATCTATGCCAAATTTCGTGGAGATCCGTTCAGACGTTAAGCCTACAAACTCTAAAAACGTTACGTTACGTTACGTCACGTTAAAATTTTGACCCCTATTCGTGGGTGCTATAAGCCATTTTTATAGTAATTCTTCTCTGCATATACAACTTAGTCTTTAAGTTTAGAAATTAAATAAAGAAAATGTTCAAACTGTCGATTCACTATTATTAAATTCATCGCGTATTATTTCCATGTTAATTTCGTTTCGGTCGCAGAGATCGCTAATTTTAACTCAACACCCGCAGGGAAAACTTCCCGAAACGGTGCCATAACTCCATAGCGATCCCAAGAATGTCCCGACACAGTCTACAAAACTTTACTTCACGATATTACGACTCGCTTTCACTTTAATCTTACACAATTTTGTATTGAGTCCTAAATTATAAGCGCCTAATGAAAAATTTTACACTTGCAAAACATTTTATAATTCTCATTTCTGAAGTTCTCTATGAAGATAGTAATAAATACTTGTATCTGGATAAAGTACTAATTATTTTGACTAAGTACCACATTCCGAATTGGTTACTTTAATGCTGTGATTATGAAGTTCTCATTTATTTTATCACTAGCTGTTCCCGTGCCACTTCAATCGCGTAAAATTATGAAAATTGTTTTATTCATTAAATTTGTCAAATTCAATTGCAAATGTCAAAATGACATGACGATGACAAACCATGGTAACCTTGCTTCCTTGAGGTTGGCAGCAACTTATGGTCTCTTTCCCACATTAGGGTTTTTATCCAAAATATTTACCCAGTAAGATGAATGGCGTGAAAATGTATAGCCTAAAGCGGGACGTAAGTGTAGGGTTTTTTTATTAAAAAGAGAATTATTCGAAAAATGCTGTAATTGCTGACATCTTAGGCAACAAAGAAATGTGCGTTTACGCTTTATTATAATAGTATAGAAGTATAGATAACCTCGTGATTTATAAGTGTTAGTTTAAACTAAATTTCAAAGGAATAAAACTCAAGTTACGTAGTTCGGACTTTATCGAACCAAAAACACTAACGAATGGTTAAACATCTGGGAAACTGGCCATTAGAGATATATTACTTTACATCATTATTTTACAACAAGCAAATAGTCTATCAATGCCTGCTTTATTTTAACTAGCACATAATAGTGCCAATTTCACTGAAATACATTCATATTCTGTACTAAAAGTCTGGTATAATTTATTGGTTGTGTTATATAAATTTTCGATGATTTCATAGAGCGGTTCAATTATGAAAATTTAGCCGGCGGTCAACGATCAATCGATGTACGTACATTTGCGTGTGTATGTGATGTGCGTTCGCCCCAACGAGCCGGTAAGGGGTTAATTAAATTCACAGCAACCGTCTCCCGTCGCCTCGCATTCCCCGAATTCAATGAGATTTCAATTTACTTTGGTCTAGTCGAGTCTTTCATTGTCCACGAATTAATACACTATCGAGAGAATTGGATCGCGCGGGACTCCATTGTGCTGAATGCTTTTAATGCTTTCTACTTATTTTGTTCACTTTGTGAAGAGCAATGAAACAACGCTTTTATTGAAATCCTTTGAGTATTTACCGAACTATTAGTTACGATTGTGATATGCTTATACATGCGAACTTTGACTTTTGAATAGTGTAATAGACAATCTAAAATCTATCTATATTACGATTTATCCAATAATGATTATAATATCTCTAACTTATAATAACGAGAACTCAAATAACTATTGAACTGTTATTCTACAACAATTGCGAAATCACCACTAGAAAACTGCAATAGTACCTTTAATGGAGAGAAAATGTGTCACTAAATGTTGTTTCTCAGTATTAAATTCACTCGACAGATTCCTAACCACTAACATTTCAGAAAGATAAAGACCAACCTTACGTAGTAAGTCCGTCGTCAAATACCAAAGCCGTATTTCTCAGTAAAGTGGTATACATGAGTATATATGTACGTAGCCCAGCTTATAATGGAGATAATTTTGCCGGTGTACACGCTAATATATTATCGAGACGGCATAGCAGGGGAGGGAATGCGTCCATTGTAATATGCGGGATGTAGATTCGATATAATCTATTCGAATTTGCATTATTGATGAGTTGAACAAATCAAAAATGATTTATTGATAAATAACTAGCATTTGATTAGTACCTATCATACTATCATACTTCAGACTTCATATTAATATTATAAATGTGAAAGTTTGGGTGGATAGATGGATGTTTCTTAGAGTTTGTAGCCTAAACGGCTGAACGGATCTGGATGAAATTTGGAATAGGTGTAGAGGATGGTCTGGAAGAACACGTAGGCTACTTGCTTTTGTTTTTTTTTAATTCCACTCGGACTGAGTCGCGGGCGAAAGCTAGTATAAAATAGTAATTATTGGTAACTTAGTTTATATGCAGTAATTAAATGCATAAGTATAACACATTTTCAGAATTCACAACCATTTGGATTATCTCATTTCGAAATGTTTATTGATTCGATCGAATGCGTACTATGTTAAATGTTTTATCCAGAAAACCAATAGTTATGTTAAATGATGGATTCATCGGAAGCGGTGCACGTTATTCCATGAAACTATTAAAATAAATCGACGCTTCTCCCGTCGCCAGCTCGCATTCCGCCCCGACTGCAGTTTCAATAATTGAATAGCTATTCAAAATATTCGGTTGCAGTTTCAATTATTGAAAATAGCTATTCAAAATATTTTCAAAATAGCGGGCCTGGGAGCGCAGTCGGCGCGGTCCGGGGCCACGGCGCGCCGCTCGCAATGAATCCACAATGCAAACTATCTCGCGGGTTATGTCAATTGACGAGGGCGAGGGTTGCGTTTTTATTACTCCGTTTATAATCTCTGCCCATGTTTAACAATTCCTCAAAAATATTGCATTCTCCTGTGTTTTTTTACACCGCCAATATCTGTTAATATTTATCTAATTGTGATCCGACGCTGTAATCCAGAGTTTATTTTTTTATTCTAGATGATAATTAGGTTTTGTTACGTCTTGTTATTAAAAATGTATCTTTTATTTCTTAATGAAACCTAAAAACATTAAGTGCTATCAACTCTTACACTTTAACAAGGAAAAATAATAGCGTGAGATGACTGCAGATGAGGTGTACGGTGATTTGGCCACGCCCGGCCAATTTAGAGCTGTGATGTCACCGCTAAACGCGTCAAACAATTACCTTGCGCGGACGTAATGCCACGCTCTCGCACGCTTCTAAACATTATGACATTATCACTTGTGTCCACAATACATGCACTAATTAATTTTGTACACAAAATTAGATTTTATATAAAAATAGAACACTGCTATTTTCTATCTAAATCTATGCATAAAATCATGGTTACCTTATTTAAAAAATGGAAATGTTTTAATTAAAAACTACGTAATCTGGATTATTTTTATATGAACTCTATAAATACTTGGCTTCTATATCAAATACAGTTTATGAACTCGATATGCAATCAAGTAAAATATAAAGTCAAAGTTCATTTCGCTCGGTCTCTTTTAATTTCTTCGTCACAGCGCCTTGAGCTTTCCCCATTCGTTTTATTATCTAATTAAGTGCAATAAATCGTGTTGCAGGAAGGAACGAGCTCATAGCGAGATATATTAAGCTAAGGACAGGAAAAACCCGCACAAGAAAACAGGTCTCGTCACACATACAGGTGCTGGCGAGGCGGAAGCTGCGAGAGATACAGGCCAAACTCAAAGTGGTGAGTACATGCCCTTATTTCGTATACATTTGTCTTGTAACCCATTGTTATATTTTATCATATAAGCAGTTTCAATTGAACATTGTCTTAAATAAGGGTTATAAAACTTTATTCTTATAAAAAGCCTTACCGACACATTCATTGTATTAATATCAAATCAAAAGAATACATTTATACCAAACAAAGGATGCGAAATTATGCAAAATGTCTCACATACTATAGATTTACGTATGCGATTTTTGACATCTCATTTAGTAAAAAATGAACTTGATTTATAATTCCAATTAAATTAACAGTTATTGCGCGATAATTGAAGACTATGAGTTTATGATACGTCCATTAGATTTGGACTACAGGGTTCAGTGTTCAGCTCTCTAAGAGCTCCCGGAGATCACCAGCGAAAGAAAGTGTTTGCTGAGGTTCACTGATTTTAGTTGCGATTTAAAATAGTTGGTATTCGTGGAGTTGCGGTCTATAGCTGTCTTCTACTAACTGGTATACCCAACATGAGATAACAATCGATGATGGCTATAGGACGGTGGTGTGATGAAGGATAAGGCGATGCAGTCAATGAGCTCGCTGTCGAGTGCGCAGATAGTCGCCGGGCTCCCGCACCCGGCGTACCACACGGTGCGAGGCATGCCTTTGTCTTACTTGCCGGTGAACAGAACTAGATTGCCTATACTGTGTTGTTGCTTCGCCGTTGCCCGTTACTCGATTTCGACGAAATGATAGCTAGCCTCAGATAGATACCGGAAGGTCTGAACTAGTTTTGTTTGTAAAAAATGTAGTACAGCCCCTTTTGAAGTATATCACTTAAATCATAAGACTATAGTTTGTAGAAGGAACAAATATAAGTAACCTTAACTTTGTTATTTACTGACTAATGCTAGGTTGCTGCATTTTCAATTTATTTTTTCATTACCAATTAATACATCAGTGTAGAACTCTAGTTACGTAGTTAGAAACGCATTTCGTGAAGTTATCGCGAACACTGAAGAATGGTTAAAAGTAGCTGGGAAACCGGACATAAATCGTTTCAGTTAGTTTGTTAACAGTTTACATTCATTGTACGTCGTTATATGACTAAACTATTGTAGTTTTCAGTACAATTAATACGTAAGTGACCTTTAAGAACATAGAATAAGAAAAATTTACGAGGACGGGTTTCGGTGAACGGAGTTGTGAAGGCATGTCGCAAAGCACGCTCTACAAGTACTCGAAATAACATCACATACGAATCGCTTTACTTACAAAATAACTCCGTGTTATCCACAAAGTTTGATTGTATTTCTATTTGTACACCGTAAGTTTTCACTGTCGAAATAACTATATAAACAAATATCGTCATCTCTTAATTTCGTTTTAAAATAAGCGAGATACCAATATCTTTTTCTACTTCTCTTTTCACAGTGAAAACGTAAAGTTACATTGACATTACTTTATTATTATACACTACTTTAATTCAATATTTACGATTTAATCATCGTTAATTAAGATCAATGTACCAAAGTTTCAAAATAACTTGCTTTTTGTATAAATTTAATGAATTTAAATTTAACGCTTAAATATCCCGAAAGCTTGTATTGTTTAAATGTGTTCAATGCTTCAGTTTCAGTGTGTAGAGAATTTGCCGCTCTTAACAACTTGGGCTAATTTAATTATTCTAACAAAATGTTAACATTACAAAACAATGCATTATGAATTATTATTACGTATATAATAATCGTATAATTTCTCTTTCCAGCAATTTTGGCAACCTGGTCTACAAGCAGGCACTTCGCAAGAGTAAGTACATTCATTATTTATATTATTTGACAGTGGTAGAGCCCGCTTTAACATCTTCGCACGAATGGGCCGGCTCGCCCGGTGTAATACCACGACCACACAGAAAACAGGCGTGAAGTGGAAGCAATTCCGCGTTTCGTCTGATGAGTGTGGAGGCCTAATTTTAGTCCCTTTCCCTTTCCACCCTTTTCTTAAGAGGATAGGATGGGAAGGAAAAGTGGATTTGACCGTGGAGGAGACTAATAGGAAGGGGAAACGTCCTCTTTATTCGCGTCTCCTCCATCAATTAAGTGTAGGTAACGCATCTGAAATTGTGGATGTTTATGAGCAACAATCGCTTTCCATTTCGGTGGATTCAGGTGGCCGCTTGCTCGTTTGCTACCTTATATTATAAAAAAAAATTAAGTTAAATAACTTAAGTTTATATATAGAATCGTAACAATAGTTACAAATGTACGTAATAAGTAAAGAACGTTAGTATGTAATTAGATTACATGCCTTTTATCAGTAAGCAAATCATACAATAAAACCTTGCTTTATTTATATACCTTACTAATGTTATAAATGCGAAAGTTTAACTGCTGAACGGATCTCGATGAAATTTGGTATCGATATAGAGCATAGTCTGGAAGAACACATATTCCACGCGGACGCAGTCATGGGCGAAACATAGTTATACACATGATGAGCTAGCAGAGTATATTTTTAAGAATTAGGGAATTTTTCAAATAGAGCAATAAAGATTTGCATTATAACAAACAGCATAACAGTTGACACAGAGTAGACCAACGATGATAAACAAATAGCATGTGTACCATTATTGGCATGTGACATAAAACTTTGAGCAGTGTTCTGATCACAAAATTTAATATGCACAATAAATAAAAGTATGAAGTAGATAATACATGAAGAACGAACTCAAAGCGATCCTCATACTACTTTGCTAATTACAGATCCAAAAATTATTTGATGGCACGACCATGTTAAACGTTTCGTTATGAAATTGGCACTTTGATAAGTAAAGGTTCTCCTCTGTCGTTGGCAAACTTTTCAATCTTATCTAACGTGAGATCAGAAATGGGTTGTATGTTAGTGGTGATTCAGGAAATAGAATTTCTTACTGGAACTTTAAAATGTAGGATCTAAGATCACTTGGTCTAAAAGTTGAAAATATCTTCAAAATAGCCCACTGTCTTCTAGCAGTTCATAACCCATGTGTGGGATATGTTACAGTGTGAAGCCGTTCCCTGGCGCGGGCTACAAGGGTGTGGGCGTGGGCGTGGGTGTCGGCGTGGGCGTTGGAGGCGCTGCCGACGTGGCGCCACCGCCGTGGGAGGGCCGCGCCATCGCCACGCACAAACTCAGATTAGTTGAGTTCTCCGCCTTCGTTGAGCATCCTAGAGACACGGATACGGTAAGCAAATAATACTTTATAACTGTTGTTCTTTGTTAACCACATTTCAGTACATCTATGAACATGTTTCCGACTCAATCATACTAATGTTATAAATGCGAAAGTTTAGATGGATGGATGGATGTTTGTTAAAGTTTATACCCTAAACGGCTTAACAGATTTCGATGCAATTTGGTATAGATGTAGACGATGGTCTGGAAGAACACATAGGGTACTCGCTTTTGTTCTTTTTTTAGTTCCACGAGGATGGAGTTGCGGGCGAAAGCTAGTAAAAGAATAAAGATTTAGTATTAGCCAACTTTTACTTCAATAGTTTCTGTATTTATTATTTTCAGTACCCCCCTAGTACGACGCCGGCGCAACACCTTTTTGTCCACATAGGTGGCACAGTTACCTACGCGGACCCCCTATTAGAAGTAAGTGCTATAACAGAATATTGTAAAGGAATTTCTGCCTTCTTTCACAAGTTTCAATTTCTAATGTGTTTTTTCTTTCAGTCAGTAGATGTTCAACAAATAAACGACAAATTCCCTGAAAAGAAAGGCGGCCTAAAAGAGTTGTACGAGAAAGGTCCGCGGAACGCGTTCTTCCTCGTCAAATTTTGGGCTGACCTCAATACAAATAACTTGGATGACCCCGGCGCCTTCTACGGGGTCACTAGTGTGTGAGTACATGATGATATTACATTTTTCTTTATTTCCCTTCTGAACTTCCACTTATCAGTATTATATTTTTTTTAAATTTTTTATAACATCTCATTACAAGGACATGAGGTAGCACTAAACTTGACAACTAACATAGTACCTTTTAAAGAAGTTTTCGGTGAAAAAAAATGTTGTTCACTATATGTTTATTAGTACGACTCTTCCGCATTATATTTAAAAAAATATACATAATACCACCAATTTCACTCGCAGATAAATTACCTTTTTAACGGTGAAAGATTTTTGAAAATCGCCCCAGTAGTTTTTGATTTATTATAAAATTCATACAAAAACACAAATCTTTCCTCTTTATAATATTAGTATAGATATATTTCTTAAATGCACCACACATAGTTTCTTTAACATACCATGTCCTTAGAAGCATGTTCTATAAATTGAAGATTCTGCTAAAGTGTGTACAAGTACTGAAGTAATGTTCGTGTCGTAGGTACGAAAGCAACGAGAACATGACAATAATGTGCAGCACGAAGGTGTGCTCGTTCGGCAAGCAGGTGGTGGAGAAGGTGGAGACGGAGTACGCGAGGTTCGAGGGCGGCCGCTTCGTGTACCGCATCCAGCGCTCGCCGATGTGCGAGTACATGGTCAACTTCATACACAAGCTGAAGCACCTCCCCGAGAAGTACATGATGAACAGCGTCCTCGAGAACTTCACGATACTACAGGTGCATATGGAACCATCATCTACTGCTCTATTCTATAGCATCCATCACACAACCCATTTACAGCAATCACTCTCATTACTTGTTTAGTAATCAAGCTAAGACCGTCTTCTTCTTTTGGTGTCATCTACTTCATAATAGCTACATTATAAGTTTTGTTAGGAATAAAATTAGTATCGTGCTATAGAATTGGCGCAACTCTAGATTATCAGCATAAACGTCACGTCCCTAGCTGACAGCTGTCAATGTCACTATAAGGATGGATAGATTTGGCGCGCATTCTAAGTCCTGACGAGAAGTGTTGCTCTGAGTTTAAAGCGACAGTATCAATTAAATAAGTTGTCTAAAAGTTTAATGGCACCAATTATTCAAACATAAATGTATCACAATGTACTTTGTTGAAATCAAAAAAATAGAACTCTGATTACATCTAAAAATATAGAACGCGTAACTTTATTGTATAATTGGAAAAGATTTTAATTAAGCTTTATTCAGGGATACAAGGGAAAAGAAGACCAGGGCCAACATCTTGGTTATAAACATCTTCCCCTGTAGACGTATGCTTAATTTTTATAGAGCTCTATAAAAATCATTCATAGATACAAAACATTTTTTCAGATGGTTAATCTTAAAAATTTAAATTTACTCAGGGTCATATCTTTTATTAATTCTTGTCCCTTAATCCAGATTTATTAATCTAATTGAAACTGTTACAGTTGTGGGAATAACTTTTTTTTTATTTGCAGGTGGTGACGAATAGGGATACTCAAGAGACATTATTGTGTGCAGCGTTTGTGTTTGAAGTGTCGAACAGTGAGCACGGCGCGCAGCACCACATCTACAGGCTCGTCAAAGACTGAACACCACGCCACAACACCACACCACAACACACCACAACACTACACAACACCATACCACAACTCTGTCCTACCACACACGATTCTAATTTGTTAGAAAAAATATTCCAGAGCTGGGCTCTTGTTATTCTATCTGTCTGTGACTTTTCTTTGACTAATTTCTTTGTCTTGTGCAAGTTTGGATTTTTGTTTCAAAATTCGGAATGTTTTTTTTTAATTTGGTGTTAAAATTTGAAATTGTTTGAAATAATTTATGTAATCTCCGAATCGTGTATGGTCAAATTGGCCAACTATTTTGTGGACCATTCAGTATTTACACTACACAGACATATGAACAGACGCGACAGATTATATTCAAAGTGGGACGAAAAGATCGTTGTTATCGACATTTTAGTGATGCAAATGTAGAGAAAAAAAATGTGATCTGAGAAATTACGCTACAAGTATTTTTGTAAATGGAGATTTATGTATAGCTCAATTTTTAAATATCATGTATCATATAGTGACAACGGACGTTCGGAACGATTTTGTCTATGGTTAAATCTTTAATGGATCACAAAAGAAAAAAAACTTTCACAAAATCTAACCTTAAAATTTCGTGTAAATTACCAATATTAAGAAATTTATAGATTTCAACACACAGTGCCTCTATAATTATGTTACATTAACATAAATTACTTGAGCATTTTTAGCATTTCCACTGCACGTTGTAACGTCCCAGTGGAAATATTAAAATTTAGAATACTGCGATTCAATACATAGGTTTGTTAAGTATTATTATTAAGACGTCTAGAAATTCTGATTCTTTTAAGTGCTCTTGGTACAATTTAATATCTTATTTTGTTGGTCATTTTTTAATGATTTCGAAACATCGTTTGCGACATAAATCGTAAGGAACGTAATGTGGCAGCTTTTTTTTTTACTTTTGTATTTTGAATGTTTCTTTACTTTTAAGATCGTTTTGTATTTGCCACGTATGTCTTTGCCACTCGGTTATAACATTGTACATACTACAGTTAGACAATCAAGGTTGTTATTAGGGATGCGAAAGTGTACATATATCGATATTCATGTCAATGTCAAATAAACATCAATCAATAAAAAAACACATCTGCAAATTGTCAAAATGTTTGTTATTACATGTTTAGTTCTTAATGTTATATTTTTATGTATTTTAAAAATATCGCCCTTAGAATATAATTTTTATGAAGTTTAAATTATGTAATTAGAATGTGAATTTTACTTTTTCGCATATCAAAATTATTGAACTTTATGTCGATATAAATATCGATGTATCTATACTGGTATCGGTTTTTCGATATTACGTCGCATCCCTAGTTGTTATAGATGTATAAAATGTATTATAAACAAGGTATTCAAAGTGCGTATGAACACATTTATTTCGAATGCGTTGGATTTTTCAAAGGCTCTAAGAATCATGTTTCTTTTTTTTACATGATTTTTTTAATGTTAACGCGTATTTCATTTCATGCCACTAAACATGATTTCGAGAGCTTCCGATATAAATTGCAATAAAAATTATTTTTAAACTATTATACGTATTGAATATTAAAAATTATATTGGATATTTTTTTTTCTTATACTTCAAAATGATGCTTTGATATTCTTGGCAGCTTTTGTTAACGCAACCGTGTAAATAAGATTCTATTATTTACTTTATTATTGACTCATTTTCTAAGATGCATACATAATTGAAAATGACGAACAACATTAAAAAACACGAGTAATAAAATACTAGAGTATTTTGGACCTCGTCATCTTTAACTACAAAATTTATTTGGAATCAATACTAGTAACTAAAGCCCTTGGCGGGGTTACTACAACGCCCCCTTTTTAGCAGATTGCCCCTTTCCATCGCCCTGGGCGGATGTCTCTACTGATTTTTATCCTTATTTAAAATCGTCATTTCTTATGTATGTAGCTTTATATCTCGTGTTTTTCATCAAAGCCTCGGTATTTCCCTAAACTAAGGCCGCTTCTGCTTTCTTTAAACTTCCAAAGTACAAAGAGTGCCGGCCTACTGATTATACATAAGTTTAATTTTTTTTTTATAATGTGGCAATGATTTGATCTCTCTTTTAGTCAAATATTTTTAGGGTCCCCCCTTTTTTAAGTTTACAGCGGTAACCTAATGTGCATTAATATAGTTTCAAGACATGCGATAGAAAAATATTATCTTAAATAATGGTAAGAGATTTTTTTTGTATTTATTTCATAGATTTATATTAGGTAAATTGTAAAGTGATTAGTTTTAAGGTTTTATTTTTTAATATGGCAATGGTCGTTCAGCAAAATCGTAGGTAATGTGAAATAATTAGTACTTAAGCGTATGAACTTAATTTTTTATGGTGCCGTCGTCTCTAAACAGTGAATAAGCTTATTTTAAACGACATTTTGCAAAACGATTGTTGGTGTTCATCTAACATCAATCATCGGAACATTAAAAACATCGATAAGAAAATCGATAATCGATGTTTATCTAATTTAAAGTTTCGATAGTTGCTAACATCGTTGATTATTTAAATTATTGCATTAATCATTTGTATTGAATTTTCAAGAGAAGGTGAATAAAAAAAATTAATATAAATTTTTAGTATGTTTATATTCGCTTTGATGTTGCAAACATTTGGTGCGTCGAAACATTATTTTATTATTAGTAAACATCGATTATTTATTAACCCTTATTATATTGAAATAGTGAAAGAGATCTGTTTCCTATGTGATTTTTTTTACTTTTTTGTAATATTAATGTACTCAGAATGAGATTAATGGGTTCGTTCGACTCTTGCTAGTAAACAGACGGGAATGGTTTATCTTGTATACTTAGTGCATTTGTTTCACTTTTAGTTTTCTAAGTGAATTTTGATTTACAAACTTTTTTATGACGACAAAATGTCGCGAATTCTTACATCTTACGAGGATATGCCCCTATTCTTTGTACAAATGAAGCTTCAATATTTTTATGTTCATAGATTTATTAAAGCAGAGCAGATTTTGGCAAATAAACTTGAACTTTATGAAATTGTAATAAGGTTTAATTTTACTTTGCACGTCTTTGTTATAAATAGCAATAATAAAAAGACGCTTGAAGTAAAATTCAACCTTGTTTCAATCTAATAAAGTTTAATTTCGTTTACGATAAAAATCTTATCTGCTCTGTTTTACTCTCCAGTCTGAACAGACCTTTATTGTATATTTTCACTATCGTAATATTTGTATTATATATTGCTGTCTCTTTCGTTCTATCTGAAAAAAAAAAGACAGCAATGTATTAATGTAAATGTTCGGAAAGTGATAATTTCAAAATTAATTATCTGTACAAAGACGCTTATTATATGTTTTTTAAACGATCTTTCATATCGACAATCTGCCATATCAATATGAAAATTAAAAAAGAAATTTAGTCGACGGCTTTAAAGAGAGTCATTTGCTTTATTTGAGGTTATTTTTCTTTATTTTGGCAAGTTTCTCGAACTGAGGGGTCAGCGAATGACTATTTACAAAGCCGGCCGACATATTGTACAGTATTTTAAAGATAATATTACGTTAAAGATTTGTATGAAAAATTTAATTATATTGTCTTCATAAATCCAAGTGTTTATCATTTTTTTTCACTAATCTATAAAAAAAAACTAACTGATTTTATGTGATCACGAGTATTTTTAATTAAAAAACCATTAATTAAACCACAAGAATTATCAATACAATTTTATGCAAAAATGTTTTTTACTAGCTTTCGCCTGCGACTCCGTCCGCGTGGAATTTAAAAAACAAAAGTGACAAAAACAGACTATCCTCTACATTTATGCCATATTACATCTAAATCTGTTCAGCCGTTTAGGCTACAAACTCTAACAAACATCCGTCCATCCATACATCCATCCATCTAAACTTTCGCATTTATAATATCAGTAAGATGTAAGATAAAAATCATAGTAAGTATAACTTCACAGACCAGTGCTGATAACAAATGAAGCTTTGGTCTTTTTTCTTAAAAATTTGCTACAACAGCACCACTAACCGAGCCAGAGAAGTTTCTATTTCTATATCAAACGTGCACAAAATGTCAACAACAAGATCGATATCTTGATAAATGACTTTCTAATTGTCCGATATCTTGATGTGATAAAGACATTTTTCTACATAATTAATTATTCAACTTATAAATCGATTAAATAATTATATCACTCTCAACAAGTACAGTTAAGTTAACAATGACAATAAATATATAACTTAAATGACATTTTTCAGTACGTTTTCGCACACCATTGGTTTTAATTAAGACAACTCTATGCATTTTTGACCGACATCCCAAAAGAAGGAGGTACTTAATTCGTCAGTATGTTTTTTTTATTTTTTTTAATGCGTGTTACAGCATAACTCCGCCGCTAGTGGACCGATTTTGGTAATTCTTTTTTTATCCGAAAGGTAATGCTTGTATATGTAATGAATTATATTTTTAATTGGAATTGGCTTATAAATTGCAATTGTCTTCAAATTGAAATTTCTCCAGGATATATACAATCTGTTTGAAACTTAGAAGATGTATATGAAGAAGTATGTCATTGTGATATATCCACGACCTCGTTAAGAAATCCATGACCGAAGGTCAATAAAATAAACAAGTATTAAGTTAATTCGATTAATTCCTAATATGGATCAAGATAATATCATATACAGGATGCTTCAAAACATATTTCTAACATTACACATAAATACATACTGACATTTTATCAAATTATCGAAGGAATAAAATTACTCACGTCTATTTAATTTAAACTAACTTTCGCCTGCGACTCCGTCCGCGTGGAATTAACAAAATAAAAGTGACTAGCCTATGTGTTCTTTCAGACTATCCTCTACATCTATACCAAATTACATCGAAATCCGTACAGCCGTTTAACCTACAAACTCTAACAAACATCCATCCATCTAAACTTTTGCATTTATAATATTAGTATGAAGTATGATTATTTCTATAATTCGTCTATAAACAACATTTTGTAATCCTTCTCTCTTTCAGCCAGATAAGTTGTTGTTATTGGTAATAAATACATTCATCCAAACATTCGTAATTAGTATTAGTAAATATTCGTAATTTATTTATTTATTTATAGCAAGATTTTTGACAAGTTTCCGATAAATATAATCCAAATAGGTTTCAACTTTCACCATAAACATTGCTCCACTTACTGTAGTTTTTTTTACCATCTCAAAAGATTTAAACAGTTACTTTTGGTGCTACTTTTGTGACGTTTAAATAAAATGTTGTATAAAATATCGACATTATAACCTTTTAAGTTTTTAATGTCCTTGAATTTCATAATAAGTCATCTGATAAACTACTGTTCCTTTATTAAACAAACAACATAAATAATTATTGTAGATTATCAATACTGATAATGTAAATACCATATCAATTACATTGAATCTAGTTGTAATTATCACAAACAATAACATTTATTTCCCATACAAGCATTTTCAAAATTCATTCAAGAGTGTAATTTGATCGAGGTAACACCTACGATCAATTAGAAAAATGAAAAGTTTAAAATTACTTTTAGTAACGCTAACTATACTTATAGGAGAATTCAAACCTGGTTACAGCGGTATGTTTTATAATTAATCTTTTAAATAATATAATAATTAAGTGTGCAATTTAATTGTTAATTGACATGTACATTCACAAAAACAAGAAACATCGGGCGCGTTGCTGTTTTCTAAACATATTTGATGTCTGAATGATGTTGAACGAAGACCAAGGCCGGAACAAGAACTAGGGTTTTGGTATATAATAGTTTAACTTTGTCTATCTTTGACTACAAGTGATAAATTTGAAATAATAATTATGTAAACATTGATGTACTCTCTAAAAATATACTAAAAATGTAGATGCAATATAAATAAAGATGACTTTATTGTTTCTTACAGATTTGCCATGCCGAGCGCGCGACGTTGGTATAGACGGCAGGTCAATAGTATGCGTTTGCGACGCAAACTACTGTGATACCATCACCAAAGAAACACCAGCTAGAGGGAGTTTTGTAGCTTACACGAGCACTAATGTGAGTTATACATATTTTAAAGAGAATATTGTATATGTGTGGGATCAAAACTTATAATTACTTGTTTTCAGGCTGGAAAAAGGTTCGAGAAAAGCTACGGAGCGGTAAACGGTTTTGGTGCAACCGAAGATGATGACATCATTGTTGAAGAAAATAAGGGTATGTATTGAAAATTTTTACTAATTTCTTCTTAATCTCTTAATAACTAAACCTGATGAAACTATTGACTTGACAGATGTAAGTCACATTAGTTTTGTTATGTTGCAATAATAGAGAATTCGAATAAATGTATATAAAACTCTTAAAAATTATTTCTTGAATAGCATGTATAAGAAAGAATGTGGTACTCCGCGTCCTGACGTCATCTAAGAAGCAAACACTCGAGGGATTCGGAGGCTCTGTCACGGACGCCGCCGGCATCAACTGGCGTAAGCTATCCACGAAGGCGCAGAAGCAACTCATGAGGTAAATCATTTCTGTCTATACTAATTTCATTCTCTAATCTCTTAATTTACACTCTGGAGGATTAACACAACACTACATCATTGGCCTGTCACTAATTGACATCTGAAAAGGTCATCGAGACGTATTATGTAGCGCGCCATTCTGGCGGGAGTTATAGTTTGTCTAAATAAGTAAGATTAATTTAATAAATGACGCATATGATGTATCGAATTCAATTTGTATGAAAATGCCGTACTTAATAGACAGGTCTCGTAGTGACGAAACAAACACGCATAGCGAACAATTATGAACTATCTTATTTAGACAAACTATAGTTAAATTAATTACGTTAATACAATTAAAATCATCCCTTTCAATACAATAACATCACTATTACGGTGTTAGCACAACACTATCGCCTCTTTCACGTACATTTATCCCACATTCTAATGGATTGCAGCTGTTTGCAAACCGCTCTTCATTGATACATATCCTAGATTCATCTGTGGCGTCTAAATAGCTCTTAAAACTATTGAGCATTTACAGAGCTAGCGATAGTTATAAAATGTCTGCTTTAATCATTTTAGATTATAATACTATTGCACAATCTGATATAATGACAAAAAATGTAGTAATCTCTAAACAATAATTAATTCCTATTGATTTTACATCAATAGGATGTACTATATCTAAACAGATTATCTTTTTAATAATATTAGTGAAATACCTATCACAAACAAGGTCTAGTGATAAACTATGATGAAACAATTACACCAATTAACTAGTCACATGTCGTCAAGCTGACTTTTGGGTATAGAAAATCATAACAATGCGTAGCACTTTAAGTGACTTTTTTTTTATAACATAAGGTGGTAAACGAGCAAGCGGCCACCTGAATCCGCCAAAATGGCGAAGCGACCCCTGCCCATAGACATCCGCAATTGCAGATGCGTTACCTACCCTTATCCAACAGAGGAGGAGAAGCACATGAAGAGAATATCTTCCCTATGTATCTCCTCCTCCATCAAATCCACTTCCCCTTTCCATCATTTCCTTATAAGAAAAGGGTGGCAAAGAGAAATGGACTTAAATTAGGCCTCCGGCACCACACTCAACAGACGAAACACGGAATTGCTTCCATTTCACGCCTGTCTTCTGTGTGGTCGTGGTATTACACCGGCCGTGCCGGCCCTGCAGTGCTAAGATGTTAAAGCGGGCACTACCACTGTTAAACTGACTTAGAATTGTTTTTCAGTAAAAACACAGTACTTATTAGATAACTTTTAATCTCGTCTTTATTAAATTGGGTGCCCTGGTGTGAAAATCTTTGCCACTCTGGCTCTAGGAACGTATTAAGAAAACCATAATAGCTTCAACACAACCAAGCTCCCTAAAATCTGGTTTTTATATTCGCCATCACTAGACTAACAAATTCCAAATTCGCCAGTCTCCATTGTCGTATTCCATTTGCAGTACATACTTCGGTCCAGAGGGCTTAGAGTACAATTTAATTCGAGTGCCAATAGCTGGCGCTGACTTCTCTACACACCCATACACCTACAACGAGCTGCCCTGGAACGACGCTGCACTTACAAACTACTCCCTCAGTCGGGAGGACTTTGATTATAAGGTGAGAAAGCGATATCTCATACTTTCCCCATTTTTAGTTCTAATTTCATCAAGTCTACGAAATCGGTCTAATGCAGGTACATATTGAGTCCAAGCTATTATCAGTTTAGTTCATATGAACCTGAATTTTATCTTTTAATTCGATTGATTCCTTTATTAAGGAATTACCCAGATACATAATTTGATTGAAAGATAACAGTCATTTTATTTGATTTATTAATTCAGTAACTGAATTATCTTAATAATGATTTATTGAACATGGGATATATTTTAATTGCTTAAAGATACCTATGATAGAAATGGCAAAGGCGATGGCAACGGATGAAATCAAAATAACAGCGACGGCGTGGTCTTCGCCTATCTGGATGAAGACAAATGAAGCTATCACCGGCTTTGGACAAATTAAGCCTGAATTTTATCAGTCTTATGCCGATTATCATCTACGGTTAGTACATTTACAGAGTAGTTGCACAGCATTTGACTGACTACGATATAAACGATACTTTTTGATGAATTTAGGTAGTGAATTGATGTATTATTTGATTCCTATGAGCTTATATGGAGGTGTGCACACTACTCGATTTTTATTTGTGTGACTAAACAGTTGAACTGGCTGCGAAACAATCGAGAATGGCACAACTGTTTTGCGATAGTTCAGTCAAAAATGTGCGTCAGCTCCTAATGTAAACAGAATCACAACCGATTGCATACACTTTTGATAAAATATTGGAGATACAAATGTTGTCTCTTTTTAGTAACTAGTAGTTTATATTACAGTTTCCTTGAAGAGTATGAAAAATACAACATAAAGATCTGGGCCATCACCACCACCAACGAGCCTATCAACGGCGTAGTGCCAACTGTCAATTTCAACTCTTTGGGCTGGTTCCCCAGACAACTCGTAAGTATAACAATACTAACTGAGGCTGATTTGTCTGCGCGGAGTTAAAAAAAACTTAATAGACTGTGTTCTTATAGAATATATCTTACTAATATTTTAAATGTGAAAGTTCAGATAAATGGATGGTTGTTTTAGAGTTTGTAGCCTAATCGGTTGGACGGATCTCAATTAAATTTGGCATAGACGTAAAGGGTAGTCTGGAAGAACACATAGGCTTCCTGATATTGTTTT